GGGTTTAGGGCTTTAGGGGTTTACTGTTTAGACTCAAAGCAAGCTTGAGGAGCCGGCCTACGGAGGTTGCTTTCCCCGACCTGGTCCGGAGCGGTGAGGGGCTCAGGGTTGTAGGGCTTAGGGTTTAGGGTTTAGGGTGTGGAGTTCCGGAGTTTAGGGGTTCAGGGGTGTAGGGTTTAGGGTTTAAGGAGCCCTCTGGCACCATGTTGGTAATTGCTTAGCTTGCGACTTGCGTTTAGAGCATGGCTAAATATGTGAAAGGCAGGTTAAATTTTGAACAGCATCCCAAGCACGCCGTTTGGACAACCCTACAGTCGAAACCTTGAAGTAGGCAATACACCATTGCAAAGCAAGGAGTTCGAGGTCCTGAAAAAAGTCCTACATCTTTTTGACATGGACACTTCTAAAAAGGAACAACTATAGTGATAACCAGTGTTAAGATACAGTTACACCCTAAACTCTAAATACCAAACCCGCAACAGGAAATCCTAAACCCTACCTGTAAGCCGTGTTTGTCGCGCGGACTCTCAACCCGTGTACCCTTTATCGCAGACTGCTAGTAGTTGGGGTTTAGGGTATAGGAATAGGGGAAAAAATCTCTGGGCCCTTCTCCGCACGACAATTTGCAGGTCCAGCGCCGGCTTAGGGTTTGTAAGGCATGCGTAGGGCGTGGCGTTCAGGGTTCAGGGCATATGGTAGAAGGTTTAGGGTTCAGGGATTCTGGGGCTCTTAGTTAGTCGAGACGTTGAGGGGTTGGCTTCATTTTGGGGCCATAATAATTAGAATAGGGGTTTGGGGCCCATTTTTATACTATAGTTACGATAAGGAACCCCAAAATATTATAGGTAATTAATTAGGCCCCAACATTAGAGTTTAGGGTTTAGGGTTTAGGAAATGCTGAAATCCTTGACAGTTCTGGCAGCCAGCCTGCGTGCTTCTTTGGCACGGCGCCAGGGCGGCGGGCAAGTCCTGACTGTGGGACACTTGGGGGTGTCCGAAAATAGGGGACCCTAATATAGTTCCCTCAATAGTAGGATCGTTCTTATAAGGCCCCCCAAATAAGGTACCCCTTAGTTTCGGAAACTCCCACTTGTTAGGCTTCAGTGTTTTGGGTTTGGATTTTGAGTACTGCCTGCGAATGCTTTACCTGCTTTGGCTGCCAGTGCTGCCGCTACGACGGCCGAAACTGCCACGGCTGCTGCGGGAGTTTTAGAAACACCACTGCCGCAACATTGAACCAAAAACTGGCCCCTAACAGAAAAACCCACTAGCACTACAAACAAGAATGCTGCGATCACAGCTGGGGCCCTGGCATTGAACTTCCTGGCGGCGAGCATTTGGCTCCGGGCTCGGGTTTAGGGTTTAGGGTTTAGGGTTTAGGGTTTAGGGTTTAGGGTGTCAGATTAGGCGCTTACTGCTTTGAGCTCGGGGTGCGGGTCTGGAAGTTGAGAGGTTTAGGGCTTAGGGCCCCTGAACCCTAAACGCTAGGGCTTAGGGTTTTGGGGTCTAGGGTTTAGGGCCCTAAACCCGAAACCCCACACCCTAGGGCTTTGGGTTTTGGGGTTTAGGGTTAAGGGCCCTAAACCCTAAACCCTAAATCCTGGAGCTTAGGGTTTTGGGGTTTACGGTTAGGGCTCTGGGCTTGGATTGGAGACATGGGGTCGGTTTGGATGTAGGCTTCAGGATTTAGGGTTTGGGATTTTATCGAAGATCTTTTCAGACCGCAATAGAGGGGCCTGAATCTGAATAACGTAGTGGCCGTCATAATTAGAACAGGAATTTGGGGTATATTATGCTACAATTAAAATAAGGAACCCCCAAAATAGTATTGGTAATTATTCAGGCTCCTACATTACATACCCAAGAGTATTCCTTAAAAATTGCCTAACAAATACAAGTATCATACTGAAACATACACCGAAACTTCGACCCAAACCCTACATTCGGACTGTAAGGTGGTGCTTTCAAACTTGGAAGGGCAGCAAGCAGCGGCAACAGCAGCAGCTGATGCAGCAAAGCTCGTTGCCGCAGTTTCAGCAGAAGTCACAAGCAACGTTGGGCCATGGCGAAAACTTGTGAGCTTGTGGTAGGGCCAATGCAGGGGCTGTTGGCCGTCGCCGTAGTAACAGTGTAGTCCCAGTAAGCCCTACACCCTAACCCCAAACCTCTAAACCCCTAAACCCCAAAACAGTACTCGTCGTCGTAGTAGTAGCAGCAACAGGAATAAAGCAACAAAAAAAACAAAAAATAAACATATCGAGGCTCTCTGACCTCCCTGCTGCCGGATCCCCTGCTGCCGATCTGAGAGCTTAGATATTAAAGAGTTTTGAAGTGCAGTCTACTCTACGTAATCATAAGGAGCCGCAGAACAGGGATTGGTAATTACTCCAAACCCTTTAAACCCTAAACCCTAAAAACCTAAAAAACCTAAACAGCTAAAATCTAAAAACCTAAAACCTCAAAACCTTCCTAACGCATGCTTTGCTGCTTCGGCTGTAGGTTCGGTCGGCCTTTGGGGCTTCGGGTCTCGGCTAGGAACCCCGGGTTTAGGAACCCTGGGTTTAGGGCTTAGGGTTTACGGGTTAGGGGTTTAGGGTTTAGGGTTTAGGGGTTTAGGGTTTAGGGTTTAGGGTTTAGGGGTTTAGAAGCCTAAATAAGTATCAATATAATCCCTCAGAGTTTCCTGATGATGATATATATATATATAAGAAGAGCCCCAAAACACTATTCTAACTATTCGGGCTTTCGTTGCTTCGGGTTCCGGGTTCTAAGGGTTTACGTATTGTTCAGAGCTTGGGACTTAGGGTTCAGGGTTTTGGGACTTGGGGTGCAGGGCCTTAGTCAAACCCTAAACTCTAAACCCTAAAGGCCAAACCCTACAGGCTAAACCCTAAACCATAAACCCTAAATGGTAAACCCTAAATGGTAAACCCTAAGCCCTAAACCCTCAACCCTAAACTAGGGTTTTGGGGTTTAGGGTTCAGCAGCCCAGAGCCGTCCTCAGCCCGCCGTGCCCGAGGGTGGGCACACCTGCTGCAACCCCTTCCAGAGGCGAAGCCTAGACCCTACTGTCTCCTGGGGTTTAGGGTTTAGGGTTTGTGGTTCGGGTTTAGGGTTTAGGGGGTTTAGGGTTTAGGGTTTGGGGGGTTTTGGGTTT